GGGGATGTTTTTCGGGACGTCTTTTTGGTTTTGGGAGGGCGCGCGTCGCTCCCCCCCACCCTCCTGCTGGCCTCGCTGCCGCCCGCTGCGGGCGCGGCCCGGTGCCTGTCAGCGGCGCGGGCCACTCGCGGGCGGCGGGCTCCTCCCCAAGGAGCGGGAGCGCGCGGCGGCGGTCTGCCCCTCACAGCTACCGCGCCGTCGCGCTGCTCGCATTTTCTCTGCCCCGCATGCCAGCAGCCTTTTACGCCGCCACGCAGGCCGTCTCTGCGGCCGCGCAATCCTCCGCCATCCCGCTGGAGGAGCTGTTCAGCTCGTCGATGCGCGCATTCACGAACGCCTCCAAGTCCTCGCCGCCGCAAGCGGCTCGGACAGCATCGTCGCGCATGCGTTTCGTATCGCCCTCGCGAAGCGGCCTGCAACCCGCGCGGATCGCCTGGACCTTCATCGCGGCTGCCTCCTCCAGCGCGCTGTTCTTCTCGTCGGTGGCGGCCTTAGACTTTTTCTTCAGGATCTTCGCCGCCGCGCCCGCATGCTGGAGGGATGCCAGGGATGCCGACGACTCGCGCGCCTTCGCGGCGCCGATGGCCTGATGCGCCAAGGCCCTTTTTCACGGGGCCGTCGTCGTCCTTTTCCGTCCCCTGGCAGTCCTGGTGTTACGCTTCGCAGTCCTTCTGCTTGTTCGCGCGCAGCCTTGCGCGCGCCGCCTGTGGGTTGTTTGCGCCACGTGTTCCCCGAAGCGCTTCCGCAACGACTGGGGGAACGCATGGTCCACTAACGTGGCCAACCTTTGCCCAAACATTTGGTCACATAGGCGTGTCCTCGAAGGCGGGGGGGCGGTGACTCGCCGTAGGCGTCTTCGAAATGTATTTATATTTGCACATGTATACATACACTACATTTATGTGTATGTACACGCACATTTACGTAATCATGCGACCACGCCGCAAAGCCAAAGATAACACACCGTGCCGTCGTCGCCAACACAGACCAGATACCTCCTCCAGGGGTCGCAAGGCAAGGCGCGGAGGAAACGGAGAAGCGGAGGAGGCGGCGCGCGGGAGACCACGCCCCTCCAGCTTCGGCCGGCCCCCACCGACCTCCTCGTCGCCCGAGGAGTCCTCGACCCACAGCTCGCCCCCAGACGTCCAGTCCCCGAGGGCGATCAGCCAGCTCGGGCCCTCGTTCCCCCGGTCCACGTGGTCGCGCGCCGCGTAGTTGCGGTTCAGCTGTGCGGCGGCGCGCACGAGGGGTGGGGGCGCGAGGGGGGCGGCCTTCCACGAAGGCGGGGGACTTGTGCCAGGGGGTCCCAAAACGAGGCGGCGACAGACCGTACGGTGATCTCGAACTCCTGAGGGACCTCACCACACTGCCCTAATCGTCCGAGACGTCGTCGGAGAACGACCCAAGACCCAACACAGTGCGGCGACCCAAGGTCCCCACTGACTCACCGCACGGCGTGGCCACCAGACTGTCAGGCGGCTTCTGAGAAGGCCTGCGGCTTCTTCAGAAGGGCCCGCAGGCTTCCGAGAAGGCTCCTCCGAAACCCAGAGGGGCTCACAAGAAGCTCCCGTGCCTTCGCAGAGGCCCGCCTGCTCGGGAGGTTGACCCCTGGCGCTGGCCCCCTGGTGTGCGCCGCCGAGCTTCGGGGGAATACAAAGAACCTATACCGCTGGTGTCCCCGCCGGGACCTCTCTCGGGGTGTGCTCTGACCAGAACTTGCAGTAGAAACCAGCCATGGCGATGAGATCCACCAAGACGAGCACCGGTATCGGTACCTCTGTATGGACGCCCGAAACGGATACGGGAAAAGTAGGTACAATGCCCAACACCACATGTTGTTCAAAACCAGCAGCGGCCGCTATTGGCAGCCGGCCCACTGTTTCAGATCAAATGGATAACGTCGCCGGCGACACCGACAACGACTCTTATTCAACATGGATCGGAACTGCTGCCGGCCCTCGTACCCCTTCATCCTTGCCCCATTTCGGTCGTGCAGATCCTTCCTCCCGCCGATGTATCGAGGTGCAGACACTGGCCGCGCCGTTGAGGCAACCTTCGTGGCGCCACAGCCGCATCAGCAGGCGGCAGAGACCCGGGTACAGCGCCGTCTTCAGGCTCGGCAGCGGCCGCCCTCCGGTGCTCACCGCTCGCACCAAGCCCAGGGTCATCGAGTCCTCGCGCGGTGCTTCAGGGGTGGGGTGGGGGGCGTTAGGCCCAGGCCTGGGGCGGCTCGAAAACAAACAAATCGTGACGGGGGTCTCTCATCGCTTTTGGGCTCCGGGGTCCTTGCCGGGCCCTGAGGTCTCTCGACCACGTCCTCGGCCGGATGTCTGGGGACGGGCCGGGGGGGGGGAGGAAGACACGTGCACCTTTCGTGCCCCAGTTGGGCCCCAGGGGGCCCCTTGAGGGCGCAAGAGGTCCACCTTCCTCCCCCCCCCTCCCATCCACCGTTCCCCCATTGCGCAACGCCCGAAGTCCACCGCGGACGCGCCGAGCGGGCGCACGTTGGCGCGGCCCGTGTTGCGCCAGTGCCGCGGGGGGACTCGGCGCAGCGCGGCGAGGACCTCCTCGCGGAGGCAGCGCCACGGGGGCCCCGCCGCCGCCGGGCCGCGCGCGGCGCGCGGGCCGACATTCGTCGGAGAGCGGCGGCCGCTCCAGCGATCCGCGGGGTGGGCGAGGCGCGGGGGGAAAGGGCGACGCGAGCGGTTCCGAGCGCGGCGAGGCACCGCGCAGCGCGGGCGTGCTCTTCCCTCTAGCTGCTCGTGCTGCTTGCAGTCACGGCCTCGATCGAGCGAGCCGCGGCGAGAGCGCCCGTCGTGTGGGGTGCCGCGAACCCCGACAGAGACGCCGGCTATCCCCACTTGCGAGGGGGGACAGCCATGCAGCAATCACAGCAGCGCAGCAAGGAGCGAAGCCCCTCTGGTGCCCCAGGCGCGCCTGAGTGCACGAGGAGCGCTACAGGAAAAACTGGGTGAGGGCCTGAGGAAGAGCGAGTCCCTTCCAAATCCGAAGTGGTCCATGTGTCATCGTTTTGACTGTGGGTCGGACAGCGGGTCCAAGGCTTTCCAAGTGGGGATTGGGATACTTCTAAAGATGGTGTTCCTGGGCCCTGGACCAGTGTCACGCCCTCCTGGCGGCGCACGCTGAGACGGTCAAAGAATTAGTCTGAACGCGGGGGGGGACCTGGCCAGGAGGGCTGGCGGTCCAGGGACACCGACGTCTTGAAGAATAGCCTGGCGAAGGGGCCAAATTTATGCGGCTGCGTGCAGCGCAGGGTGTGGCCCTCTCTCCATAAACAACGGGCCGCGGGGCAGTGCGGATACGGAAGCAGCGGAGCAAGCACGCAGAGGCGCACTGAACTCACTGCAGGGCACGATCTGCGTGATGGGTGCGCCGAAATGGGAGGTGGGAACCCCATGCGAACGCCCTCGCTGATGCCGTGGGTCGAGGCCCCTGAATGGCACGACCGGTGGAATATCGGAACCGAATCAGACCCGGCTGACACATACCCGATATCGGAGAAACAACAAATGCATGAACATGCACTCTCAACGATTCGCGCGGATTTCGTGGATCCGCGCTGGACCCCCTCCCTGGCGCCTGGAGCGCGCCAGGGGCGGCCCTGGAGGCGCCGCCAGAGGGCTCCAGCGCAGATCCAAGAAATGAGCGCGGAGCGTCGAGAATTAATGTTTAGTGTTTAGGCCTATCTGTGTTTCTCCCACATCTGGTATGTGCCAGCCTGGCCCAGTTCGAATCCGATGTTCCAGCGGTCGTGCCACTCAAAGGGCTGCAGCGCAGACCCAAGAAATCCGCACGGACCGTCGACCTTCAATATCTATGCAATTTTCGGATCTTCGGATAGCGGCTACACGTAAGAGTGACACCCGGCAGGACTGACCTTGGTGCGCGGCTGTCGGCGGGCGCGCGCGGGGAGGCCAAACCCGAGCGCGCAAGCCGCTGCTACCGCGTTGCATTCAGCCATCTGGGGACCCTGGTGTGCCTGCACCAAGGTCACTCTGGCGAAAGGTCACTGTGAAGTGCAGCCGGGAATGCCCGATATCGAATCGCACCGATCGGTCGAGAGAAGCCCGCGCTTGCCGCCCGGAACACACTGCGTCGGGGAACTATTGACCCAGGCCAACAATGCAAACCTGGGTCAATCAGGCCTCTCAAGACCCTGCAAAATCATGCAGCATCCTGTGCGCAGCCCGGGTCAATGCCACCCTGGCTCTGCAGGATCCCGCCAAATCCGGCGCTCTGGCCGACTCCCGGTTGCATGGGCCCCCCTTTCAAGCCTCTGGACCGCGGGGCGGCGGCCGCCCTCCGGCGCCTCGTGCCTACAGGACCGCAGGCGTCGCAGCCGCCAGAGGTGCCGCGCGCCGCGTGCGCCTGCGGACGCGCCCGCGGCGGCGGCGTGCTGGTGGCTCTCCTCTGGCTGCGCGTAATATGCCCTCAGATCTTGGCGTTGCATTTTTGCAACAGCAAGCATGTTCGCCCAGTCTCGGGAACGGGCCCCTGGTGCATCGATCCACCTCGAAAGATGATGGAGAAAAATGAAGTCCGGGGCTCTGGTCGCGATATATTTTGCGATGCTGCACACTGCAGGCGCCAGCTGGAGCGGGCAAATCCTGCCTCCCCTGGACACACAGACGCAAACAACACGAATTACCTGTGACGATTTATGCCTGGGTGAGCGGACCAGGAGGAGGAGGAGGAAAAAAGCAAAGCGCGCCACAAACCGAGGACGCCAGGGGGCGTGGCAAAAGAGAGGGGGTCTGTCTGCAGCGCCTTGAGCTTCGAGCCAACAAGAACCAATAGACGAAGGATGCAAATTAGCCCTTGTCCGTGTCATCCCCTGGCCTGCATTGATGGAAAGCCCGCATTGAACGGCCTCGGCGGCCAAGCAATACATTCACCATGGCAGGAGAAAAAAGACGGGGGAGCGAGAGGTAGGAGGGAGGAGGAGGACGAGGAGGAGGACGAGGACGAGGAGGAGGAGGAGGAGGAGGAGGAGGAGGAGGAGGAGGAGAGGGGGTGGGGGAATTCGAGCGCCAACAGCGCCGCTGACGGTTGAAAGAACGTGCGTATGGCGTGCGATAGGCAGAAGCCATGACGCAATTTGTACACTAACGAACTAGACGGCACCGCGCGCCGCCAAACCCGACAGCGCCCAGAGGGAGAAGGGGGGAGGCCTATTGACGACCACGTTTACAAGCAAGGCGCACCAAGCTACGCGACTCCGCATGCTCCTTGGTGGCCTCCCGAACAAATCCCTGGAACAAAAAGGTCTGACGCACCGCCAGGCGGAGCCCCGTGGCGAAGTGAGGCGTGCGTGCCAAACGCCGCGTGCACTGCAATAGCTGTCAGGGCGACTCTCCCGTCGAGACCAGCGGCAGGTCCGAAGACAGCGCCAGGGTCGGCGAGCCCCACACATGTTGATACGAGCCATGTGGGCTCAGGGGTGTCCAGGTTGAGATACTGCTTGGACCATTAGTGGGAGTTCATCTACACATCGTGGTGTTCAATCGAATCGCCCCCGCAGCCGCAGCCCAGAGCACATGGGGCCGACCTTCCGAACCTCCTCGCCGTTGTCCACCCATAGACGGCTGCGCAAATGAAAACAGCCCGCATGTTGGGCGCCACTCGTCCGGCGAGCGCGCGGCAACGGTGCAGATAGCAGTCTGCGCGGTGCCCATGGCAGCACGGGGGAAGCCCAGCGACCTTGCCCCTTCCGTAACACCTGGCGCACCTGAGTTGGAACACCATGGACTGCCGCGGCCGCCTGGGCCTGCCAGCCCTGGAGCCGGTGATCCGGGTGCGCGACGTCCATCAATGCTGGGTTATTGGCCGAAGCCTTTTCGGACAACTTGCACGGCCGCTTCCAAGTTGAAGAGGAACAACGTCGTATCCAAGAGCGGCGTGCGAAGACCCGTTCCGAATTGCGAAAATCGTCCATCGCCGACGCCAATCTCCGCGCTCTCTCATTGACCTGGCGCCTGCCCGATTGCCTATCCTCACGAAGTGCTACCCGAGCTCTGGCGGCAACGGCGGCGGCCTCCACGTCGCGGAGCTCGCTCGGGAAACCGAGATACTTCAGCGACTGCGCGAAGCTCGGGGCAATCCGCTTGTCCGGGCCTGGGACAAGACATCGGATCGCCTTCTCCTCCGTAAAGCGAAATCGATCAGGCAGTGGGTCCAGCTGGGCGACAAATGACAGAACGGAGCT